AATGAACTTCTAAGAGCTTTTAAACGAGCTTTCGGAACTGGAACCACCTGCACCTGAAAAAAAAAAATCAAGGTCAATCCACAACTGCAAATGCGTAAATTATTTTATGAAAAAACTTTTCGAAAAGTGATTTTTTCTCCTTTATTCAATGAATCGAAGGAAAGATGGCTGTTAGACTTGGACTGAAAAACAATACAACAAAATTATAAATTAATTGTTGCCAAAAAAGCACTAAGATTTTACTAAGCAATATGCAAAATTTAACAAATGCGATGCGAAATTCATTCAGGGGAAAGCACGCCTAAAAAATTTAGGTTTTAGCGTGGCGAAGCAACCAATTCTCGACCCCTCAAAAACTAACCTGCAGATGTTGCGTTTTGTAGTTACGTTCGAAGAACACCGGCACTTTACCTCGTTGATCGAACATTAATGTCAGTGCGTCTTTGTATTTTCTGATATCGTCTCGAACTTCCGGTGAAGTTGCCACCACCGACTGAATGTGTCCTGAATATGAACAAAATTTCAGCTTCCTAACTTTTGTGGTTTTCGAGTTGAAAGTTGCGGACAAGGTGCATCAGACACACACGCACACACGGACACACACACACACGCACATACATACACACACATGCACACACACGCACACACACAACCCCGTGGCAATAATGTGTTTTGTGTAACACAAAAACGCATAAAAAATCAGTCAAGTCTACGATCTTCTAACTCCTAATTTAAAAGGTATTCGTAATGATCTGGAAAACTGATAGCGCCCGGGATGAAAGGTGGTAATATTCGTCACATACCAAGAGCATAAAAAAATGGCTTAAAACTGTGCCAAGTGCCTCTATCTGGAGCAATGTTGAGTTGGTAATTCTTTCAGGAGAAAAACGAATGCTGGAATCGAAAGCATCAGTGACAGGCTGACCGTCGGGAGATGAAGTACTGGTCAAAGTAACTGGAAAAGCTGCCAGCTGCACAGATGAACTAGATTATGAATTACAGAAAAACTCAATATTACAGGCATGATTCCCCATTCTCTTGGGGAGGTTTACCTGAAGCCTGAGCCTGTAGGAGCTTCCCCGCAATATCATCAACACGGGATAGCCACATCGCTGGTTCAGATACTCTTGAGATTCTTAAAATATCCCCTTTGTAAAAAAAAAAAAAAAAAAACAAACCAATGGTTAGAATCATCACATGATCTTCG